ATAAATTACCCCCAAGAAGCAATGACTCTTTCCAAAACTGCTAATAACTCACAAGTGACTTTACACCACAAGTCACCACTGTATAGAGCATGACATTAAGATGACACTTAAACACAATAGCTGAAGTGTTTAAAATAGGTAGAATAATTATTTATACTACATGTGATGATATTTTGACTGAGAAAGTATTCAACCAATTTACACTGCAGTTATCTGAAGCATTCAGCCACAGTATGCTGATTCTGAAATTTAAGATAACAAAGGCTGAGAAGTGTTAAATATTATGGGAAAAACTGTAATATATTTTTAATATAGAAGAATTATCTTGTCATATGATACCAGGTTTAGTATTCACTTCATACCAAATACAGATTGATCCCAATCAATATGATTGATACAGTAAAATAAATATACTGTAAAATTATTTTCACTAGAAAATATAAACTCCCTTTTTCCCTTGCTAAAGTAAAATATTGCCAGCATAGAAATCAAGCTTTTTTCTCCACCATCTTTTTACCCATGATATAGTTTCACTCGTCTGGTAATTTTTCCTGCTTTCTTGCTTATAAAACATCAGAGTAAATTCACAATCATCCCACCATCATGGCTATAAACTTCAGCTTTCCCTGGAGTTTAGGGAAAGTCATCCCTGTTGCAAAATTAGGTGTGATTAAAATTAGGTCTCATTCAACAGCTAAAGAGTGAGGCAAAGCAGGAAATACAATTAGAAAGCAGAGAAACCAATCGATTCAATCTTTGTATCCTCAAGAAGTCAGAGGAGAAAATTTTAATTTCATTTCTTAAAATTAGAGAAATTTCTCAGAAAAGACAGGCTGGTTTTCCACAAGTAATTGTGAACAGAACACAATGCTATGCCTGTAAGTCCCGCATCCGCATTCGTGATGCCTGCAACATCACGTAAAGTGGAAAAGACTTTACCTGAGGAGAAAAATGATGAGAAAATATTCTCACAAAGAGGCAGGGAATGATATCAGCCCCTTCTTCACTAAATTTACTTTCCCTAAGCACGATGACTCTCTTCGCATTGCCCAGCAGCCCGTTCCAGAAAGCAGCAGCGTCACCACTTTGTCACATGTTTGCTGTTACTCTTTGTCAAGCCTCTGCTGCCCACAACATGCAAAGTCCCCCACAAAAGCCAGGGTACAATCAGACCAAACAGCAATATTATTCTCAGGATCTTACCAACAAGGCACCTATGAGCTGAGAAGGCCCTTAAAACCCTGCAGAATTCCTTAAATCTTGACCCACAATAATTTTACGGGAAAACTATAGATCTAAAGATATAGATATTAAAAAAAAAATAAAAAAATCAGTATAGTCGATGCAGGCAGTGCTGTTTCATTTACTTGAAAAGCGTGATGGACCTGGAATCAACCTCTGGGTGCTGCACTAGTTCTGAATGGTTTTACCCTCTGTGCTTGTCTCTTCCTACACCTATCCACACATTTTCTGCTGTCATGTTTCCATCTCTAACCCCATTTCCCTTTTGCTATTATTTGTATACTCATTCTCTGCCATTTTTCAGTATTTTACTCATTCCTTGGAGCTTCCCATGATCCCATAATATTTACCCTTTCTACTACCATCTCCAGAGCTGACCCTGGAGCCATAGATGCAGCAGACAAGCCCAGTCCATCACGACATGAGATGAAGCACCTGCACTACACCCCCACTTCCAGCCCTAAATACAGCAGGGCTGAGTAGCTCCTGCAGGTGTATGACAGATGTTTGTATTGCCATGTTACCTATTGATCAAAGTGAAAAAGTCCCTAGTTATAATTTTAACAAACCTTTACCTAAAGTCAGACTGAAAGAGAAAAAAAAAAAATATTTTCAGATATTATCTGCAATTATTTATTTATTTTTTTCCACTTTCTAAAGAACAGGCCTCGACTGTAGGATAGGGACTAATCCTAATACAAGCCTGGCACTGACATTAGCAGTTAAACAATCCGCTGTTAGGAAAGTTGCTTAAGCAAAAGCAGCTATTTCTGGACTAGAGGCTGCCACACTTTGCCTGCAGCTGAAGTGACTGGTATCAACTGTGTTTGAAAGATGTTTTTTCCATATCTGTGATTAACATAATTCATGTTTGAAGTTGAATGTTAATGTTTTCAGGATGCTCATCTCCATCACCATCTTTATTTTATTGTCTTGACTTCCTGGCTTGCCAGGCAAATATGATTTTACCATTCAAAAAAAATCACGGATCTTGGTCACAGAACTGAAATGCCAGGTTAATCAGACTTTGTATCATTTGGAACCATGTAGCTAGATTTTTCAAGGACACTAGGGCAAAGGAGGACTCCCTTCTCTCTATCACAGCCACTGCATATGAGCACAAACAACTCCTTATAATCCAAGTCCATTAGCAGCAAACAACTATTCCTCATTAAAAATAACACAAATCAATGTCTGCACTTAGCCTCTGCAGTCTGAGGAAATGGCCCTGAACGAAAAGGGAAATCTGAGTCCTGTTCAACACCCACTTAGTTAAAAGCATGGAGAAACACTTCATTCCCCATACACTTCCGATACTTACATCAAATTCATTTAGTGCAGCAGCAAGCTCTCCTATGCCAGTGTGCCCCTTGTTCTCATCAGTGGGTGAGGTGGCCTGGGCAGCATTGGAGATACCAGCAATTGCTTCTTGTACTTGCTTGAAGACGTAGTCTCTGTTGGCCCTAGTGGCCGCAACGTCAGGGTGACGGAGAAATGCTTGGGATGCAGTGTACAACATAGTGGCATTCTTCTTCAGAGCACCTCGAGCTGCAGCCATCTCATCCCTGCAGTGAGGATCTTTCAGTTCCTATATAAAAACACACCATTTTTATAGTTGTTAATGAATTTTTTTTTGGTGTTGGAATGTATTGTCTATACAGCTTAAGTGTCTCTGCGTAAATACCGTCCGGTGATTTTGCACAGAGGGGTCAGCATCTAGCATAAATCACAGAAAGAAATCTCCCGCCTGCCCAAGAAAGTCCATTCCTTCTGGGTAGCTACAGCTGTTACATTCCACTCACAATATCTCCTTATCAAAGAGTCTATACGCTTCCCTCATTCAAAGAACCGCAGAAAATTGTTATAAAGTATTCAGAGTTACTCCTCCTGATTGACTGGATTCAATCTCCTGATGAGAGTGCAACAATCCTGTTGCAGTGAGTGCCATAATTTTGTCAGTGCTATACCTATGTCCTTTATAAAATCATCATAAGGTAGAGCTTTAAAAAAATCCAAAGCTAAAAATATTGCCCTGATGAATATGTAGTTAGATCTTAAAGACTTAATAAATACGCCTCTCATTATTTTTAGTCTTTCCTTTATATTTTGTACTATTTCTCATAACATTTACTGTTAGGCATTGAATAAGCGTTATCATGACTTTCTGGTCTTTTTTCCATCTGCCTTAGTAGTGAATGAATTCAGTACTTGGGGTTTTTTAAGTATCTGAAAATTAATAGTGATGCTTTTAAACACAAAGTAGATTTCTGTTCTTCTGAATCACACCAGACTACCAAAGAGCTTGTGCTTTACCAGCTGTCAGAGTCACCTCACATCAGCATAGGTTAGAATTAAATGGGAATAATCATCAAATGAAAACTATTCTTAACCTCCTGAATCACTTGCCTTTTCATCCTTCATCCTGTTAATTGAAGCCACTTGGAAAATATTCTTAAAGAAACTGCATTTTTTAAAGACTTGAGCACATTCAAAAAAAAAAAAAAAATCAATGTGATTAAATTATAGGCCATGACACAGCAATTACTTATTGTACATTTTAAACCAGACTTGGACATACAATACAAGATCTTCAGAACCAAGACTAACTTTCTCCACCACTGCCTTAAAACGTACTCACCTGTTGCCGTCTAGCAGCTACATAGTTCAGTTTTACCATCTCTTTTCCAAATTCTTTAAAGCGATTTGCTAAGTCTTGTTCATTTGTTGCATTTTTCACTGCTTCTAATGCCTCCTCCACCTAGAACACAACATATCCACTGTGTTAGTTAATCGGTGTGCATTCTGTGACAAAGTCTGTAACCGCTCTACCCAATATTCTCTCAGATGGACCCAGTTTAGCTTTCCCATCCATCCCAGTACAGCTTTATGATAGTCCCACTGCCTTTAGTTAGGTTTCTTAAGAGAGAAGCTGTCATGACAGATGTTTGTATTGCCATGTTACCTATTGATCAAAGTGAAAAAGTCCCTAGTTATAATTTTAACAAACCTTTACCTAAAGTCAGACTGAAAGAGAAAAAAAAAAATATTTTCAGATATTATCTGCAATTATTTATTTATTTTTTTCCACTTTCTAAAGAACAGGCCTTGACTGTAGGATAGGGACTAATCCTAATACAAGCCTGGCACTGACATTAGCAGTTAAACAATCCGCTGTTAGGAAAGTTGCTTAAGCAAAAGCAGCTATTTCTGGACTAGAGGCTGCCACACTTTGCCTGCAGCTGAAGTGACTGGTATCAACTGTGTTTGAAAGATGTTTTTTCCATATCTGTGATTAACATAATTCATGTTTGAAGTTGAATGTTAATGTTTTCAGGATGCTCATCTCCATCACCATCTTTATTTTATTGTCTTGACTTCCTGGCTTGCCAGGCAAATATGATTTTACCATTCAAAAAAAATCACGGATCTTGGTCACAGAACTGAAATGCCAGGTTAATCAGACTTTGTATCATTTGGAACCATGTAGCTAGATTTTTCAAGGACACTAGGGCAAAGGAGGACTCCCTTCTCTCTATCACAGCCACTGCATATGAGCACAAACAACTCCTTATAATCCAAGTCCATTAGCAGCAAACAACTATTCCTCATTAAAAATAACACAAATCAATGTCTGCACTTAGCCTCTGCAGTCTGAGGAAATGGCCCTGAACGAAAAGGGAAATCTGAGTCCTGTTCAACACCCACTTAGTTAAAAGCATGGAGAAACACTTCATTCCCCATACACTTCCGATACTTACATCAAATTCATTTAGTGCAGCAGCAAGCTCTCCTATGCCAGTGTGCCCCTTGTTCTCATCAGTGGGTGAGGTGGCCTGGGCAGCATTGGAGATACCAGCAATTGCTTCTTGTACTTGCTTGAAGACGTAGTCTCTGTTGGCCCTAGTGGCCGCAACGTCAGGGTGACGGAGAAATGCTTGGGATGCAGTGTACAACATAGTGGCATTCTTCTTCAGAGCACCTCGAGCTGCAGCCATCTCATCCCTGCAGTGAGGATCTTTCAGTTCCTATATAAAAACACACCATTTTTATAGTTGTTAATGAATTTTTTTTTGGTGTTGGAATGTATTGTCTATACAGCTTAAGTGTCTCTGCGTAAATACCGTCCGGTGATTTTGCACAGAGGGGTCAGCATCTAGCATAAATCACAGAAAGAAATCTCCCGCCTGCCCAAGAAAGTCCATTCCTTCTGGGTAGCTACAGCTGTTACATTCCACTCACAATATCTCCTTATCAAAGAGTCTATACGCTTCCCTCATTCAAAGAACCGCAGAAAATTGTTATAAAGTATTCAGAGTTACTCCTCCTGATTGACTGGATTCAATCTCCTGATGAGAGTGCAACAATCCTGTTGCAGTGAGTGCCATAATTTTGTCAGTGCTATACCTATGTCCTTTATAAAATCATCATAAGGTAGAGCTTTAAAAAAATCCAAAGCTAAAAATATTGCCCTGATGAATATGTAGTTAGATCTTAAAGACTTAATAAATACGCCTCTCATTATTTTTAGTCTTTCCTTTATATTTTGTACTATTTCTCATAACATTTACTGTTAGGCATTGAATAAGCGTTATCATGACTTTCTGGTCTTTTTTCCATCTGCCTTAGTAGTGAATGAATTCAGTACTTGGGGTTTTTTAAGTATCTGAAAATTAATAGTGATGCTTTTAAACACAAAGTAGATTTCTGTTCTTCTGAATCACACCAGACTACCAAAGAGCTTGTGCTTTACCAGCTGTCAGAGTCACCTCACATCAGCATAGGTTAGAATTAAATGGGAATAATCATCAAATGAAAACTATTCTTAACCTCCTGAATCACTTGCCTTTTCATCCTTCATCCTGTTAATTGAAGCCACTTGGAAAATATTCTTAAAGAAACTGCATTTTTTAAAGACTTGAGCACATTCAAAAAAAAAAAAAAAATCAATGTGATTAAATTATAGGCCATGACACAGCAATTACTTATTGTACATTTTAAACCAGACTTGGACATACAATACAAGATCTTCAGAACCAAGACTAACTTTCTCCACCACTGCCTTAAAACGTACTCACCTGTTGCCGTCTAGCAGCTACATAGTTCAGTTTTACCATCTCTTTTCCAAATTCTTTAAAGCGATTTGCTAAGTCTTGTTCATTTGTTGCATTTTTCACTGCTTCTAATGCCTCCTCCACCTAGAACACAACATATCCACTGTGTTAGTTAATCGGTGTGCATTCTGTGACAAAGTCTGTAACCGCTCTACCCAATATTCTCTCAGATGGACCCAGTTTAGCTTTCCCATCCATCCCAGTACAGCTTTATGATAGTCCCACTGCCTTTAGTTAGGTTTCTTAAGAGAGAAGCTGTCTGATCGTCATTCGGCATTACTTTCCATTTACTGTACTTTGGTATCACGTAAAACTAATGTAAAGGGAATAATTATATTCATTTCCCCACTCACACTCATCAGATGAAATGTTTAATATCTGCAGGTTTTAAAACAAAATAGATGGATGCGTTCTTAACACATGGTAAAGGCTCTTTGGGAAAACAAAGGGAAGTTCCTAAATCTGAACAAGAAATAACGTTTAAAAGGGAAACTCAAACTTACCATTAAGATTTAAATTTACCCTGATATACCCAAAACACTGTGTCTTTGCAAAATAAATGAAACAACAACAGATGCAACTCAGAATATATATATTATTTCTTTTTTCTCAGCTCTCAGCTTCCCTTTTTCCATTAGTTTAAACTGAGAAAAGAATCTACCAAAGAAAACACAACCTGCAGTTCCTCAGTCACCCGTAAGTAACAGGCAAAGATATAAACCCCAGTTACACCAACAAGTTAATCTGCCAAACCTATTGTGGAACCATACCTTAGGTACAGCACGAAAAAATATCTGAAGGGATAAAATGCTCTTTTCGTACAATAAGGAAAGGAAATTTTCCTGTGACCAGATGAAAATTCAAAGTTGTATTTCTCTCCCTCACAACATAAAAATGCAATTCCAGGCAAAAAGACTGGGAACTGAAAAGCTTCCATTCATCCTTTCCAAAACCTATTGCTTCAATTCACAGCAATGTGCATGAGCTTTCCACAACGGTCAAATTTTCCCCTTGAAGAGGAACTGCTAATTCTGCACGGGACACGCTCCGGGGCAAGAACAGAGCTTTGCAGCTTACTCTCCCAGCGCCACGGGGAATCCATAAATTCAGCAGTAGCCAGCATCTAATGAATTTAGAAAGGCACAATTATGTGCAGAACCTGCCTTTTTATCATTTGTGCTGCTCTAACTGTGTTTTCCTACCAGCAAGAGAGGAGCTGGTGAGGGGTCTGGAACACAAGTCATACGAGGAACGGCTGAGGGAACTGGGGTTGTTTAGTCTGGAGAAGAGGAGGCTGAGGGGAGACCTGATCGCCCTCTACAGCTACCTGAAAGGAGGCTGTAGTGAGGTGGGGGTCGGCCTCTTCTCCCTGGTAACAGATGATAGGACGAGGGGGAATGGTTTGAAGCTGCGCCAGGGCAGGTTTAGGTTAGATATTAGGAAAAACTTCTTCACTGAAAGGGTTGTCAGGCTCTGGAATGGGCTGCCCAGGGAGGTGGTAGAGTCCCCATCCTTGGAGGTATTTAAAAGAAGGATAGATGAGGTGCTTAGGGACATGGTTTAGAGGTGGGATGGCAGGGTTAGGTTAAAGGTTGGACTCGATGATCTCAAAGGTCTTTTCCAACCAAAGTGATTCTATGATTCTATGATTCTATGAAAATACACATATTCCACACTGTGGGAAATTCAATTAACATACTGTGTACTATAATACTACATATTACACAATATCAAGTCATAAACCCTTGATGTCTGGCTCCAAAATATATGTATTTACAAGCAAAAGAGAGGTGGCTCTCAAAGCAAAATTATGCATTTCATAATACATATATAGAATGGGCAGAAAATAATAATCAAAAATATTTTAAAATGTTACTTGTATTATTTAACAAATAAAAAGCAAAGAGGATCCTGTCTCTTTTTAAGAGTAGATAATGTGACAGTGTTACATCAATCACTTTAAGGTTTATTTACACAAAAACCCTTGAAAGATAGATAGTTTCAGTTTTAAGTTCCTTTTTATTACTTCTTAAAGCTAAATATTTTCATTGACTATATATTCCAAAGTATGATTTTATTCAGCTTTGATTTATTTATATTTCGATAGGAATAAAATACAAGTATTAAAGTAAGTGTAGTGATCATTCTTTTTGGACTTAAATGATTATGATCTTTATAGTGTGTATTATTGTATCAATGGCGGGCTACTGTTAGATTGTAAGTTATTTTCATTTCATCTCTAACTTCACAAATGCCCACATATTTGAGAAGCTATTATTTTCTCACCTTTTTGTTTTTCTTCTTTGTGTACCTTAATAAAAATAGTTATGAAGAGTGGATATTTTCCATCCAGCTGAGAATAAAGCATACTCCAGGTTACTCTAGTGAACATCCCATATTTTTAATAATTAATGCTGGCAGTCAGAAAATACTGATATAACTTTTCACTAGAGAGCAGGTGTCAGACTTGCTTGTGAAAATACAGGAAGACTCTCTGTTATCTGTTGGACATACTGGATAAAATATGTTGTAGTAACAGTTACTGAAAAGGTATTCTGGTATTCTTGTTTTAACCATATATACTCCTTGTTGTTGGTCTACAACACCCTCTTCATTTACACTGAAAGACCCAACATTAAAGTTACCTACATGACAGGCCATGCTAACGTAAAGCAAATAAAATTACCAGCTGGCAACTTCAAAAATCGGAAAATTCATTGTCAAGTTTTGCTAAGTAAAAGGTAATAGACTAGAAGAAAATTATATTTAATCTACTTACAATACCTTCACACTTCCATCTCCACAACCTGCTTTGAGTTCTACCTGCTTACATAAACTAATTATTCAAGGCCCCAGTACGAGATGTAGCCAACATTTTGAGGTTAAGTTTATTAAGATAGAACCATCATCCAGTGTCTGGTAGGAATTTATTCTGGATTCAGGGCAGGTGAAGATTCTCCAGTTCCCTTTCTACCAAGCCATTAGTAGCTAAC